GAGAAAAAAAGAAGATAACTTGGAAGGACATTCTGCTTTCACTTAGCATTGAATTGGTCATTCAGTTGGCTAACTCGTGTAAGTTTTGGATTATATTGACACTGTATTTGTGTTCTTCTGTTATCCTGTTTCAGCAGATTATCAAGCCAAGATGCTCGAAAGAAGAAAAAGGAGCACTTGGGAAGTCGATTGTCTAGGAAGACACCTCAGAAGCTGCATGTTGCTGATAGAGTCTCTGCTATCAGGATCAGCGCGCCCATTAGTGCTCCTACCACTCCTTATGCAAGTCCTGGACTCAGCCCGCTCAAAGCTGAGGATTTTTTAAGTCCCAATTGCATGGCATTCCCTGGTGCTTTTCAAGTTTGTTCTGCCCCGGAGATGCCTCCATCGGACACCCCTCATTATCCGGGTTTCTCTTATAAAGTTATCCCGGAGAAAAATGCTTTTAGTGTTGATAATTCTCCTCATCACAGTCCAAGAGCAAGTCCTTTGAGGAGTAGAAAGATCGCAAGTGGATCTACATCGCCTTTGCATAACTTATTACCACACGAGAGCTCAGCAGCACGCCGTGAGAGTAGTGCTCAGGGTAATGTCCATCCACTACCACTTCCTCCTTTAAGTGCCACTCCGCCACAGCAGCCTTCGGCCATTCCACCAGTTTCCCCTAACGCAGAGCTGACGCCAATCAAAGGCCAATGGCAAAAAGGGAAGCTTATTGGGCGTGGGACATTTGGAAGTGTATATGTTGCATCAAACAGGTATAATTTCGAAATAGATCTCATTGCATATGAGTATGTTTCTTCTCGTCCATACACATGTAGTTCTAATGTTGCCAGGTGTTTTTTTGTTCTTGACCAGAGAGACTGGAGCTTTATGTGCAATGAAAGAAGTTGAATTATTACCGGATGACCCAAAATCTGCTGAGAGCATAAGGCAATTACAGCAGGTTCTATTTCCTTCATATACTCCGTGTCTTGATTTTGATTGTACATAGTCACATCATTAAAAAACATTCTTATCTGTTGCACTGATTCAAATATTTAAAGTGGAGCTTCTTATCTGTAGATTTTTCTCCACATTTATGAGTTAGTGACATGAATGATAAACAAGTTGTACATGTTCTCTTTCTGTGTTAAGAAAATAATAATTTATATTATGTGTTCAAAGCAGCAGTAGCAAGCACATTGGGTATGAATACTTGAATGTGAATACAATTCGATAGCAGCGGCCAAACCACTATCATGAGCACATGAAAACATCTCTGTTGTAAAATCGTTTCGACTTCTAATTTTCTCCAATTTTTATGTTGATATAGGAAATTAATGTTCTCAGTCAACTCAAGCACCCAAATATTGTCCAGTATTACGGCAGCGAAATAGTAAGTACTAGTTGTTATTCTCCAATTAAGTTATATATACTTGATATATCTGAGCTTGTTGTCCTCAATGAGAGTCTTTACTACTTTGATTGTGCAGGTTGGTGACCGATTTTACATTTATCTGGAATATGTTCATCCTGGTTCTATCAATAAATTCATCCATGACCATTGTGGAGCAATTACAGAATCCATAGTACGGAATTTCACTCGCCATATTCTTTGTGGATTGGCTTACTTGCATAGCAAAAAAACCATTCACAGGTAACAGTCTGAGACTTCACTTGTGATGAGGATTATATAGAACCTTCTGAAGAACAAATTGGAATTTTTTACATGTATAGGGACATAAAAGGAGCTAATTTGCTTGTTGATGCTTATGGGGTTGTAAAGCTTGCAGATTTTGGGATGGCTAAGCACGTAAGTTCTCAACTCAAAATATGGAGTACACATTTTGTTAATGGAAGTAAACATTGTCGTCAGGAGATTCCCTATTCCTGGAAGCCAGTAAATGTAGCATAACCAATCACTTTGACTATACTTAATGACTAAAATAAAAATGGCCAGTAGGAAAACTAATGTTTAAAATGACAACTATACAGTTATAACAAAGATACTTAATTTGTATTTCATAAAGCGTGCAGTTTTCTTAATCTTTATAACTTACATTGACTGTGTGTAGGGCCGACTTTTGCTAGTTTTATATTTGATCTCGAACCTATACTCTTTCTATGCAGCTTAATGGGCAAGCAGCTAATCTCTCCTTGAAGGGAAGTCCTTACTGGATGGCTCCTGAGGTACTTTGTTTGAAACATCACTTCTGTCTAATTTCGTTCTCCTACCTCTCATGCTTATACCTTTTGTTACCTGGCAGCTCTTGCAGTCAGTTATGCAGAAGGATACTAACAGTGATCTTGCCTTTGCTACTGACATATGGAGTTTGGGTTGTACAGTAATTGAAATGCTGAATGGCAAACCACCTTGGAGTGAATATGAAGCAGTAAGAACTTCTATTCGCTCATGCTTAGCTCACACATACTCTTTTGTTTTTTCATGCTTAGCTCACATGTAATCTTACTTGTCAGAGATGCGTTCTGTTGCATGCTCCCGTAGGTTCACGGGTTCTTCAAGAAGTCTGTCCCCTTTTAGGAATATTTCAAGGCAACTCTATCTCTTAGAGTGAGAGGGAGGTTTTCTTGTAGGTGTAATTACACTAAATAAGACTGATGCTACTATATTTTGCATTATCTTGAGGAGCTTGCTCAGTTTCACTACACTTGAGAGTTCATTTGGTTCGTAGTAAATGGGTCCATATAGTTTCCCAATTCATAGGTGTTAAACAAATATTTGACTTTATTTTCTGGATCAGTAAGTAATTTCATTGCATAAGTAAGATCTGCAGAGATACATTACTGACTCTGCATAGAACCAATAAAGTCAAGCAACTCGTCTAACTGCCCCTCCTTTTGTGTCTTAGCTCTCAAGCACAGGTTCAATAGTTTCTTTCATCCTGTAGTTTTACTCCAATCAGAACTCAACATTTAGTTTTCTTCAAATGTATGATCTCGTTAACGGACGCTAAATCTTACAACACAACCATATCCGTTTTGCAGGCTGCAGCCATGTTCAAGGTTCTAAAAGATACGCCTCCAATACCGGAAACATTATCACCTGAAGGGAAAGATTTCCTGCGCTGGTGTTTCTGTAGGAACCCAGCGGAGAGGCCCTCGGCCAGCATGTTATTAGAACATCGATTTATGAGAATCTCTCATCAGCCAGATGTTCCTTCTTTCCTCAAACCAGTTGGTGGGGTACGGATCAAAGTAAGTACGTTCAATTCCTCTCTCCTCTCCAGCTCTTCTTCCTCCTCTTCTTTTTTATGGTGTATGAGTTATGATCTTTAATGCAATTGTATAATGTAACAGGAAAAGTTGAATTCTCAAAAAGAGCAGACAACATACAATCTTGACCAAGGGCGTTTATCTCTAGAGAGGTAGCTCTCAAAAGAACTATCAATGAAGTGAAAATTACATTCCAGATGGTGGAACACTTAGGCTAACACATCCTTGATATGGGCATTTCTTCATGCCTGGACACTTAATCTATACGTGCAATTCGGACAGGCCAACTGTGCGTCATCGATTCCAATGGAGCCCCATCATTTCGCTTGTTCAACTCCTCTGGCCCTGTCCCCAGTTAATTCCCACCCTGCTCGATGTATTGATGTTAGCACTATTGCAAATGTAAGTCGTTGCCAAAACCTGGTGCAATTACGAAACCTCAACTGATATTGAGATGGAAGTAGCAGGGCATATTTTTGGTGTCGCTTTCCATGAGAAGTTGGATTTGTGAATACAATGGAGACCTTTATACACGTGCTCTGTAGATAGCTTGCAGGCGAAAAGCGAGTTGGAGCCAGTGGGTACTCCGCCTTGTTGTCAACATGTTACACCTCGAGAGGAACATAGTTTTATCGTCCAGGGAAGTTTTTTTCCTGCAGACCTTGGAGTTTAGAAGTAGGTTTTCTGTAACGACTTCCAAAGGAGGAGCTTCAACAACAATCAAAAGAAAATGAAATGCTTTGACCATTTATACAATTCATTATTGAATCTCGTACTCTGCATTTTTTTTTTCCAAAATTTTTGACTAGCATGTCTAGTGTTTATGGTGTATGTAATGGTCGTTTGTTGTGCAACTTGAAGCACTGCTAGTCTGCTACTCGTCCGTATAGGCCAGAATTTTTTTTTTGTCTAATGTCATCATGTTCTCTATTACTTCAAAAATGAAACCTGAAGTAAAAGGATTAAGTAAACGGGTGATTTGCACAAATAGGATACTTCGGTGCCAATATTAATTTTTTGACCCGTTTGTCTCATAGGCAAAACTTCAAGTTTAACGATCGTTGCCCCATGCTTGCTCGATGGGTAATGTTTTTGACTTTTGATCTTAAAGTTTTGCCAATGGGACAAGCAGAAGCCAAAAAATTAAGATCATCTATTTTCAAGGTCATTTGATATAATTTGTTGTAAGCAAACAGTATGACAAATTGAACAGTGCTAGAAAGAAGTCTAGGTCATTTGATATAATTTGTTGTAAGCAAACAGTATGACAAATTGAACAGTGCTAGAAAGAAGTCTAGGTCATTTGATATAATTTGTTGTAAGCAAACAGTATGACAAATTGAACAGTGCTAGAAAGAAGTCTAGGTCATTTGATATAATTTGTTGTAAGCAAACAGTATGACAAATTGAACAGTGCTAGAAAGAAGTCTTTAAGCAGCGATTATAAATAATACTACTTTCTCCGGTCTACTTTAATTGATTTTTTAAATTATTTTCACATTAAAAAATTCACCTTTCAACATTAATAAACAATGAATTACTATCTCTTTAATTTATTCATCGGAAATATAACAGATATTCTTACACTTTTTATTCGGAGTGTAACTTCGGAAAAAAGAAGCTAAATAATTTTTAATATCTAAAATTGAGGTGACACGTACTGGAACCTTGTTTGGAGCAGAGATGGAAAGTTAGGTCAACGGAAAAGTGGAGAAACGTCAATGAAAGATATAAAAAGGAAAGAATAATGCATGTAGCTAGGCTATAGCATAAAAAGAGAAAGTTGAAAGAGTTTGTTTTCTTTCCATTTTACCCCTCATCCAACCAAACCAAACACACATCCCCCAATCAAAGTGCTATCACGTGCCCTTTCTTTTGCCCGTCCATCTCCTTTCAATATCCAAAATTTCCATAAAACAAAACCTTCATATCTTTGATTGATTGAGAGAGAGATGGATCCACCACAGATACAAGCCATAGACAGCTCCAGCAAAAGCTATCCCCCAATTGAAGATGAGCAAGACAAAATAGTCGACCAATGGTATTTTATTCCAACTTCCCCTGCTTTTTCTTTCTACTTAGTACGATTATTTCTGTTTTATATCTTCTTACTGTTTTAATAAAACCGATTTGGTTTACTCTAATCTTTTTATTGTCTTCATTTTGTTTTCTGCAGCTGTTCTTGCTTTTACGACTGTACTGATAGCCTTTTGGAGTACTTGTGCTGCTATGATTTCTGGTGTTCCTAGGGATACATATTATAACTATAAGGGAACTTGTTAGATGAACTAATTATGTTCTTTCGCTTTTGGTTATCATGATTTTGCACTGCATTACTCGATTTACATAAAACAAATTTAGTCCTCTTATACTGAAAATTTATAATGAGATTTTCGTTGGCTTCTTAATTATTAGGTTATAGTGGTGTTTTTCCAACTATATGCCTAGGGTTCATAAACTTATATGCTAAAATTTGAACCCTTTTTGATCGTGCATTAATCAATTTTGATAATCAAAGAGGCGTTGGTTCTTTTAGCACAATTCTGATAAAAAGTTTGACTGGTGTTTCAGTTGTGAGGCTTAACAGATAAAGTAAAAGGAAGGTGACAAATGACAACTAGTCATAAATTATGGTGGCAAATTAAATACGACCAGAGAGTTGAAGAATGGTCAGGAATTCTCCTAACTTCTGCCTAGTGCCCTAGCCTTAAGTGATGTTGGTCTGTACATCCATTGACATTCTTTCCTAAAGTGGTTTTCCCACTGTTGGTGGAGCCCTATATACAATTTGCTTGATCCTGCAAATCGGTATTCAACTAGTTTGAATTCATGCCGGATAGATTCACTAAGAAAAGTTAAACGCACTCTATCAAGAGATTTTTGATTCTTTGACATGAGGGGTTGCTATGATGGTAAGCAATTTCCACTTCCAACCAAGAGCTTGTGAGTTCGAGTCACCCCAAGAGCTTGTGAGTTCGAGTCACCCCAAGAGCAAGGTGGGGAGTTCTTGGAGGGAAGGATGCCGAGGGTCTATTGGAAACAGCCTCTCTACCTCATGGCAGGGTAAGGACTGCGTATACACTACCCTCCCCAGACCCCACTAGTGGGCTTATACTGAGTTGTTGTTGTTGTTGGCTATGTATACGATCAAAATCGAGTTCGCCTGCGACATGGTAGATCAGGCTCGAAATGTGGCAATAAAGGGATGAAGATTGACCCCAAGTCTCACCGGATTAGAACCCGGGGGGCAGAACGCCTGCCTTCGAAAAATATCGAAACCGTGATCCCGGAATCGGTCCTAGCCTCGAACGAGTTCGAAGAAACATTGGTAGCATAGCCAACAGAAGGTCGAAATATCCATGATCGGTCGGATGTTACGGCGGGAATCACGGCACGTATAGATAAGGGATTGTTAATCAGTAAATCAAGAGATTTATTTACCATTTATAGAATTATACCTAAGGTAGGACCCCTCTATTATATAAAGGGGGTATGATAATTCATAGAACATATTGTAACACGCACTAAAAAGCAATATATTATTATTTCTCTCTTTAAGCTTTTATTCATCTGTATCTCAAGACCGATCGAAGTACATCCGGTTCGAGGGTGACTGGTCTTCCAAGACTGAAATTATCCAATTCGTGTGGTTTGAATTTAATTTATCGTTAGGGTAAGATCTCCAACTTAGAAGTTATGTCAAGATTACTTTAATGATGCTAAGAAAGTAATCTTCATCTTTAGCGCCGTTATTTTACATTTTGTTCAAAGTGCCACTACCGATACCTTTTGTTCATACTTGCGTTACTAGTAGTTAATTAACGACTTAACTACTTTTGAAAACAGTAGTCTCCATTGATTTGAGAGACCACCTCACTTTACGTTCCCCCAGAAAAACTGCTCTTATTTCAAAGCAGAAGCTCCTAGTAGTGTTCCAAAATTTCATGGGATAACTAATGTCGCTGTACTTAGAAAAAAATAAGGCTAATCTCTCTGTAGCCATATGATCAATTTTTCACATGCGTAATTTTTTTTTTGACACGTGATCTTCTTCTGCTTCTTCCGGTAAATCAAAAGGTAATCTTTCACACTCGGTTAGAAAAGAAATTTGAAAAACGATAAACCCGATGGGTTGACGCCACAAATTTCACCCCCAAAAATCATATTTTGATTGCGCTTACACTATATCAACTGTACTTAAACTGTTAGATAATCATAGTGGATGATAATATCATCGTGCCAATCGCTATTACAAAATCGTACGTGAGATTTTCACCTCATACGGCTCCTTAGAGGTCACAAAATGAGTAAAATTCACTTGATCCCCTTAACCTTTAAGGTTTGGGAAACAATACACCTCTCACATTTTGAATGGGAAAGGGAAACCCCCTTATGCAATAATTTTTCGGTGAAATCATTTTTTTAATAAAGTCTTTTCCTTTTTCAATAGATAATTTTTAGAATAACCAAGTTCTTTCATTATAACCAAAATCTCAAGATATGACAAACAATTAGGATCTATATAATTTATGGAGTTCCCCTTTAGCCTTCTTCTTGTATAGTTTAAGATATGATGTAATGCAAAAATGCTCCGTAATGAATTTTAAAATGTGGCATTATCAATTATAATTTTTGTTCAATAAAAATATTTTCAAAATAAGTAAAGTTTAATAATTGCTTTAGTATAATAATTTGAATATACAAAGAAAATACATA